CGAAGGTAGTCGTCCATCCTCTGGTGCTGTTGTCGGTCGTCGACCACTTCAACCGCGTCAGCAAGATCGGCCATGCGAAACGTGTCGTCGGGGTCCTGCTAGGCTCTATGAAACAAGATAGGGTGCTGGACGTTTCAAACAGTTTCGCAGGTACTCTTCAGTTATCCTTCTGTGGTAAAAAAATCTGTGCCCTGGTTCCGCGGTACCTCATTTTGAGTTCTCCTCATACGGTCATTAATTTGATCATTAAGGTCGTTCTCAATTCTGCCGTTAGATGCCACGTTTGGAAGAGCAGTTATTCTTCTCGAATACAAATGCGGATTATGGCCTGTTTTCGTGTTCTGCAGTATATAGTTGTAGAATACTAACAGAAATTATTTTAGCGTATTTTGATATATTATGCGTTTACTAATTTTATTTGCTGAGAGAGTTTACGAAAAAGAAGTAAATTTTGGCGTAATAGCACAATGCCGGAGATAGTACATCCACATACCTCCTGATGTAATGGGTTCGAATGCTGTGAAGGGACCATCTTTGTCTTTACTGCGAATCCATTGATCAAGGAATTACCCCTACGTTACTGCGGCCTAACCAACGAATGGCAAGTCGGTAACTTATGGAAATTAGGAACGGAATGATATTCTGATCTGATCATACCAGAATTCTAGACTTGTGGTCATGCTGTCTGATTAGAAGGCATGAGATGACTGCCCTTTGCCTTGACAAGCCTGATAACTGATTATCCAATGTAATAATAAGTACAAGGTGTAACTTCGACTTCAATTTCAGTTATTAGGTAACTTGAATGCCTAATGTAATGTAGCTTCCGTTAGTTTCCCTTTTGGAAAATACAGTCATACGCCAGCGCATAAGTCAGTTTTTCGGTTTATAAACAGCTATTTCATGAATCAGGGTCAAATGTGGCTTAATGATTGACAAGAATATCTCAGCAATCTCAGGAAAGTGACTCAGAACCCGGTAATACCAGAAAGGGAAGAAAACGTGTTTGTGAGAAGATGAGTTGTATGCAGCAATCTGAAGCTGCGCAGCATGCTGTCCATCTGTTAAATACAAGTCTTCATTTTCCATGTCTTTCCTGTATTTTCATGTTTGCAACGGCATTGCCGGCTCTGTCCATAAGGTTTAGAAGTCTTGATACAAGCATAAAAGAATGTGCAGGAGATTTTTTCACAAAACGGATTCTTGCTAAAGGTAATCCCCAGGGAAAATGAATCTGAAGCTGAGTTACAGAACAGGTAATGTGACAGATATCATACCAGAATTGTTCTACGTTGGCCGAAGGATGATTCATGCTATCCGAATTAGGATCTTCCAGTCTTTTCAAGGAGAGTGAATTCGTCCCAGAACACGATGCTGATACACTCTGAGCGTCGGCGACGTATCGTTTCTGTGTGACACAATGCTTTCCATGTGCATTTTTGTATTTCTATCTATGTCTAGTTGCCTAATGATCTGGATGGAGTCGTTATCAAAAGACGAGATCGACCCGGCTCATGATAATTGTGAAAGATATGTGAAGTATTTACCCCGAGACGACGTTAGACGGAAGTTTGCAGCTGTAATATATCTGCATCGATATCAGACTTGAAACTGAATGCTACTGAGGCAAAGAAACGACCAACTTTTCGTCGTTGTTACGATTTGTAAAAGGTCTGAGTGACTGAGGTTCAGGTTAACAAAGAGGAGCCAGTTTCAGGTGCCTGAAAATTTGCTGGTGGTTTTAAAATTGCACACGTCGTTGCTATAGGAAGTATCGATAGTGATGAATAAAATCCTCGAACATAAACATGCTCAAAAGCACAGACTGTCTGACAGCACCTAATACTTTTTTGATTAATCACTTGTGTTCTACTTTTTGTTTGTTTGCTTTCAGTCCCTTTTGAGGAAGATGAGAAGGACCGCAACGTCTGGTTCCTCGATCATGATTATTTGGAAAACATGTACTCAATGTTTCGAAAAGTGAATGGTAAGGCTTTTGACCTTGTGTTGGTGCTTTGCTAACGGGTCTCATGCTTAGCTCGGGAAAAAGTCGTTGGTTGGTACCATAGTGGTCCCCGACTTCATCCGAATGATATCCTGATCAATGAACTGATAAAGAAGTTCACCGCCAACCCGGTACTTGTGATCATCGATGCAAAGCCAAAAGAGCTGGGCCTTCCGACCGAGGCTTACGTGGAGGTTGAGGAAGTTCATGACGTACGACGTGTTGCTTCTGATTTATTAATTTTCATTTCTGACGTGAGTTTGATTTTCTGAAGGATGGGACGCCTCCTTTGAAAACATTTGAACATGTTGTTAGCGATATCTCTGCAGAAGAAGCAGAAGAAGTTGGTGTGGAACATCTGCTTAGGTGAGCATTTCGAATGAATGTCCGTTGCTTCTAAGAAGCACAGTGGTACTGTTAAATTATTTCCCAGTGGGTTGCCTTATGACTGGTAATATCATCTGAATAACGTACTTTTCTATTCCTTACAAGGCATCGTCTAACTGAACGCACGTTTGGCAACCACCAAAAAAGTCAGTCACAGCTTTAAACATTGTTTGGTTTGAAGCCGGCATACAGAACATATAGTACATTGCGAATAAACCTGTGTTGGTCTTTTTCAGAATTCCAATGAAACGAGAGTAACGTCACAAATAATAGTTATAGCACGTTAGTTATTACTACAGAAGTCATTTTTAAGTTTTAAGTAGCTTATTGAAAAATGGTTATAAGTTATCATAGAAGCTGTATGGAGGATCGAGGTACGAAGGAATGTCCGTAGAAGAAGAAGTAGCCCATCTCACCTAGCTGCGGCCCGCTTCACCAAGGAAAAATGAGCGCTCCATGTCTCATAGTGGCTTCACTTGTAACCCCGTACCGCAGGGGTGAAGATCAAACGGATCTTCTGTCCGATGTCCGGCGACCGTTGAAAATAGCCAAGCTAGCCACTCTGACGACTTATTTGCCTTTATATTGTCATACACTGACATCAGTGAAAGTTGAAAATACGATTACAGGAGAGCTATCAAAAATAACCATGCTGAATACTCTTGTGTAAGCATAAGTGCCCTTCAGAAATTTTCATAATTTTAGTAGTGGTGATTTTAGCGAAATCGACAGCCATCATGATTAAATAAAGCTAAATATAAGGGAAGCCTTACATGTCTGGTTAATAAGTGTTGGGTGTCTAGTGCAGAAATAGTACCTCATTATGGCGCATCTACGGCTCGAATATTGCTGGTTATCTTAAAGTTAAGTAATAATCGTACATGCTTTAACGGCTTTTGTACCACCGTATTACTACCATGCGCTCCTAAAGACTACTCGCAACTTTGTTCGGCTAAGTCAGAGATTTTCACTTCTTCACATCGCTAATTATAGTCAGAATCGATTATCGCGTGAGCAGTTTTTTTACTTTAAGGCTTATTTTATTTTATTATTTAATGCGTTTTAGATTTGAGGGTTACTGTTTTTTGTTTTGTGTTGTTTCGTGGTAGAATCTTCTGCCAAATCAGAATCGTGGTCTCCTGTAAACGCCGCCAGATTCGCATTCACATTGTTAGCATTACATTACCTTTCATTATTTCTATATTAAATATATAAATAGGAATTTAGAAATTTTGACGTAGTGTCTTGTAAATTGTCCTAATAGGCTATTTAAACATTCGCTTAGGTTCGTAATGAATGTGGTTTCGTAGGGTCTGTCTTCAAGAAAGAATCACTTCCTTAAGCGACGTTAATCATGAACAAGATATTGCTGTGATGATAATAATGCGAGATTCATGTACCACTATAA